ATTTAATTGCATTATTCCAAAGTAAATAAAACCTACAGAAAGCTTAATAAGAGAGTCTTAGTCTTATTGGCTCTAAATGGGTTTTCTTCATTCAGTGCGGTTATATGAATGCATAATCCCCAGTTGTAGCCCAAATGCTTTAATGTGTCCAGATCACCATAAGTGGTTTACCAATGGGTTTTGATTACTGTTTAAAACACTGTTCAACAATAATCCATTTTTCCAAATCAAAATCAACAGTGGAAACGCCCAGGAAAAACATTGACAGGCAGCCACTGTGTGTGTGTATACGTGTGTGTACACAAATTGTTAGGCATAGTTGGCTGTTAGCCTCTTAGATTGTTGGATTACTGCACTGAAATCTCTTTCCCCTGATTCAGCCTGGACTTTGCCTGTGTGTCTTGAGACCAGCATTTGTCAATCCCTCACACACACACACACACACACACACACACACACACAACGCGCACAAAGGCCGCTCTGTTCCTTCATTAAGGCAGTACTATCTGTTTAAAATAGAGAAGAACGTTTGCGCCTATGGTACTGTCAGATGCAGGATTCTACAGTGCCATCCATCTCTCTATATAATGCAAATGAGTCCCTGGCTTGATGTCAGCCTTGCTGAAACAACCACACGTGCAAAATATAGCTTTTAAATAGTTCTTCATTTTTAAGATGAATACGTCATTGACTTTTTTGCAGGAGGGCTGTTAAAACTGCTAAAATCTCAACTGAGAGGCTAGAAAGTGATACACACGGTAGTGCCTTAATAGTTGAAAATATTAAAGGGATAGTTTGACATTTTGGGAAAGAAATGTATTCACCTTTTTTTCCCAGAGAGCTAGAAAATTGCTAGAAAGATTTGCCTACCAGCTCCTCTAAATCTCACTTAATTAAATGTTCTTTTTAAACCAAAGTGTAAAAACTAGAGACGTCTGAATGGATTTAGTGTTTTCTTTGGTCCCATCAGAGTGATACATCACATTCTCCCACTTAACCTTTCATTCATCATCATTCATCCTATGAATAAGTGAAGCTTATAAATGTCATATTTTTGAACCAGGACCTCATATTTGAATCAAGTCGATCAGATGTTGTAGCTACGGCTGTTTAATGTGTCGGATAATCCAAATTGAAGTACGCAAAAGTATTGTAACAGACCCCGTCTCTGGATCAGGACATCCCTAGTAAAAAACATGTTGTGGTTTTATGGTTTTATATAACCTAAAAAATGCACAAACACAGTATTTTTATTTTCCAATATCTCTTCAACCTGACCAAATTGAAATGGTAGAAGCTTTTGAATAACTGTGGCCTTTACAGCCTTCAGCATGCATCTTTCTCTCAAGCGTTTGTGCTCCACCTAGAGACGGTTGCTGTCTAAAGAGGACTCTGTGGGAATGATGGCGCTCTGTTTGTGTTGTCAAGCACTGAACGTTGCCTCTCAGACGCTGACATGACTTAACGTCACTGGCAAAGGTTGGACACTATGGAAAGAAGAGAGAAGTGAGAAAGCAGAAGTACGGCGTTGTTGAGAAAGTAGGCTTTAGCTGTCTACACATGACCAGCAAATCTGTTAACGCTTGAGCGGAGTCAGGAATGAAGGCGAAAGCTTCACTTTGTTACATAAGTCATGGATAATCTGCCCATAAGTTTGGAAAAGAACTGCAGGTAAGAAAACACGGTTTGAATGTAGTAAGTTGTTGTGAAGTATGAGGATGTGGAGAAGAAGTGAAACAGCAGTGAATACTGGGATGTGTTTAACATGCACACACTGTCTATTGTTTATTAGCTCAAATACAAAACCGGTGTAAAGCAAGACTTTTATCTGCTTCATCTGTATGGCTTCTGGACCAAAAGTAAACCTCACCTGGAACATTCTGGACTGGACTGGACTACATTTAAATGAGTTGGTTTAATCTTTTCAATTTCTGACTAACTCTTACAGGCAGGGATGGAATATAATATTCCTAAATATTTTCATTAGTCTTAATCACAAGAATCGTGTTTTTGTCCTTTTTTTAGAAAGTTTTTTTCTCTACACGTGGGAGATCAGGGAGTGGGTCCTCTTTTAGGGTGTCCGCCATGTTGAACTGCCATGTAACCCAGAACGGGCAAACCAAACGCTGGCTCTAAATAGGGCTTTTCACAGCCACTGTAGTTTCTCCTACATGCTTGAAGGTGAGGTTGAGGCGAGTGGGTTGCAGTAATCTGCAAGATGCCACTAAATCCTACCCACTGGTTCTTTTAATCCCAGTGACCACATACAACAGGCAGAAACAAAAACAGCACAGCAAGAGACGGTGCATCATACTGTACTGTAACAACCCAAGTGTTGCAGAAACACAGTATGGTGTTAGCAGTTGAGGACAGAGCAGGAACCTCTGAATCATCCACTCAGAATGGCTCAAAGTTGATGAAATGTTGTATACAGTTTCCCAGGACTCAGCAAAATAGGTTCTCGAAACACACCATCAGTGGGCATTCTAACAAATGCATGGTTCAAAGGTCAAAACCAGTACATTTTATTTTAATAGTAGTCAAGGTCACAAATGGGGAAATGTTTTTTGGGGAAAATGTGTACAATGATTTTACATTTTTCCACTTATGCCATTATTATAAAATATAGTATTAAGACAATTTGAGTTTAAATATTTCACCCAGTATAACTGTAGCCTTGGGAAAGTGTGAAAGATGTATACAGAAAACATTGGCGTGTGTGTGTGTGTGTGTGTGGATAAATATGTACATATGGTTTAACATAGTAACTACTTGTTGTTGTAGTGAGCAGTGGAGTGCGAGGCTCGTACAGCTGTGGCCGTGCTTGTGACAGCGTCTGTGGAGCGGAGCCAAACTCTAAACCTGGAGCAGAGGAAGACATTAAAAGAAGCCCCGCTGTAGGATCACCTTTCAAACCACAAGGTAGGCTGACAGGATGTGAACATTAACGCTGTCCTCTCCTGCCCAGCTGTAACATTAGTTAGCTCAAAAATGCACACTTCCTTCTCTGTGATGATACGATTGGTGGGTGTAGGTCGGTGGAAAGAAAATAGTTATACATGAAACTGTTGACAACAGGTGGTGTGGATTATTTGGAGTATTTTGTGGCACCATAAGCCCGGGCGCGTCTAGTTTGATTGTTTAAAAGAGAAGCAGAATTATTCTACCTGCAATTACATTGTTAGTATTCCTCATGTGTTCTGCTATCTCTTTGCAGTGCCTCCTAGAAACCAGCTCACCTCCTGAGTCCTCTGAAGGACAGGACAGCTCAAGCCACAGTCGCGCGACCAAGAATTAATACCTTCAGTGGCGTAATGGCACAGAGCAAGATCAGAGTCCTAGCAGGAGGTTGTGTAGTTTTCTATTTTCCTGTGTCAGCAGCACAGAAGGTGTAGGCCCTGAGTCCTGTCAGAGGAGGATGGAACCGTTTCTGAATGGATTATTTGGAGCACGCACATCAGCCCTGCCACGACACACTGAAGGATTCCAACAATCTCATGGCAGTCCATTTCAGTCTCCCAAGTCCAGGCAAAAGAGGCAGATTCCAGGAGTGCGGCGTACTGACCGGGAAGGTGGCACGTAAGGCGTGTCCCCAGAGGAAGCAGGATCCCTCTCGCAGGGGAGTACTTGCGCAGCCCGAGTTTCCTGCTGCAGGCGGAGGAGATGGCGGAGCGTACAAGGGCCGCCACAGGACGGTCGAAATCCTGGCTCGACTCCACAGAATCCCAGCCGCAGACGAAGGACAAGGAGAAGAAAAGGGGAAATCTTGAGTGTCCTGACGCTGATTGCTTTACTGGGAGTGAAGCAGGTTGGATTTTGAATTTGCTACACGTTAACCTGCTGAACGTACCTTCCTGTAGCCTGTATAGCGAATCAAGGGTAGTAATCCATCATTCGTAGAGTAGGAGTAGATAGACTAGATAGAGTAGGTAGAGGGTAGATGAGCTAATAGGAGTACCTTGTATTGTATCCCGGGATTCAAATCGGCAGTGTAGCTCAGTAGCGCGAAAATCACAAAACATACATTAAAAGCATGTACATAAACTCAAATTAAAAACCCTGACCTAGTAAGAAGCAGGAACCATTGCAGAAAGGGTAAACGGTGGTGCAAGGGCGGGGATGGATGTGCAAATACAGGTAGACATATTAGTCTAATTTTTAATGATGGTGAACTTTATTTCTGCAGTATTCACGCTGAAAAAGGTGAACGCTCTCCACTGAATTTGCTGCAATCACCCAACTACAACGGGCCAGCCATCACCATCAAAGCACCAGTTAACCACAGACTCAATCACTCTGCTAATGAAGCCCATCTGTCAAGCAATGGCAAAGAGCATTCCCCTGGACTAATGACTGGCAAAGCGCAGGGGAAAGTGAACGAGAAGGGAAGAAATGACAAAATGGAAGATGGCAAGTTACCAATAGGATATGGCTCGAAGTCTTCTTGCCAGTGGAATGAAGCAACAGCAGAAGATGGCAGGATTCATGAGGAGTCTAAAGGTGAACAGAATGATGACGAGAAGAGGAAGGAGAGAGGAGGAGGCGAGCCAAAGGATGAAGAGAAGACGGAGCAGAAATTGTACAAGATAGCCAATGAACTCCTGCAGACAGAGAGGGCCTACGTGGCTCGTCTCCACCTGCTTGACAAGGTATTCTATTTGGGGCTCCTTCTATGAAAACACAATGCAATTAGTGCTAAAAGATACAGCTACGTGCCTCTTTAGGTCAGCGTAGTTCTTATTATGAGGCATGGATGTCCTTTACTGCCACATTCTCAACAGACTTCTCTGTGTGTGTATGTGCTACTGCAGTACTAGATACTTTGTGGTCTTGAGGAATACAACACTTCTTATGTAGAAGATCAATAACTGTCCAGATGAATCCCCATATGTTGCCCCTCTCTAACTCCCACCACAGGTGTTCTGCTCACGCCTAACAGAAGAGGCCGGTCGAGGCTCATTCCCTCCCGAGGTGATCAAAAATATCTTCTCCAACATTTCCTCCATCTACTCCTTCCATAGCCAGTTTCTGCTACCTGACCTAGAAAACTGCATCAGCCACTGGTGGGTGTCACCGTCCAAATACTTACAGACAGCCTGTACTATAAGTCTAGACCCTTACACCCCTGACCTCCCCACTTCCACCAAATGTAGGCGCGAGAGCCCAGGCCTGGGTAATGTCCTGCTGCAACACGCACCCTTCCTGAGGATGTACGCCGACTACATGAGGAACTTTGACCAGGCAATGGAGCTAGTGAGGACCTGGACCGAACGCTCCTCTGCCTTCAGAAACATCATCCAAGACGTACAGGTGAGACATACTCCGGCTTGGGGAATAACAGATTGCATGTAACAGAGTAATCAGGATCCATTATAATAATCCATTACCGTTACAAAAAAAGAATCAGAAAGACATCATCAGCTTACAGTGACATGGAGTAAAATTGTAATCCTGCTAACAATCCCCATTTTTAAAGTAAAGAACAATATACTAACATGAACAGGTCATTAGTAATTTGTGTGGTGTGAGCAGGATGTTCTGTATGTGTGTTGTCCTTGTTTTTAGAGTCAGGAGGTGTGTGGCAGCCTGACCCTGCAGCACCACATGCTGGAGCCAGTCCAGAGGGTTCCACGTTACGAGATGCTGCTCAGGGATTACCTGAAGAAACTGCCCGAGGACAACCCAGATTATCAGCCGGCTCACAGTAAGTGCGCTGTTGTTATCGCACTCTGTTGACCTCTTCATCATGTGCTGGCTTATGGAGTGTGCTTGTGTTGGATTTTTATTGTTGCTCTCTTTGTTCTGTTTTGCTCTCTAATAAGTAGAATGAACCTCTTCCTTTCTTCTCTCCCGCAGAGTCCTTCCGGACCATTTCCATGGCAGCCACCCACTCAAACAGCGCCATCCACAAAGCCGTACGTTACCATTAACTACCACATCATTTACCTTTTGCCAGATTTTTTTGACATCAATTAAATGAAAAGCCAGTATTGTCATTGTTAAATTTCTCTCCCTGTAGGAGAGCCTGAAGCGGCTGCTGGAGATTTATGAGATGGTTGGAGAGGAGGAAGTGGTCAACCCAACCAACGAGTTCCTCAAGGAGGGTCGCCTGCTCAAGCTTGCTGCCAGGAACACATCGGCCATGGAGAGGCATCTATTCTTGGTTAGAACACTGATGTTTATACACAAACAGATGCAGACTCATTACATCTTTTTGTTTGTTTTTGTTTGTTTTTGTTTGAGACAATGATCGATAATCTGCCAAAAACATTTTGACTGTGCATATCTACCCATCTAATATGAGTTTGTTTGACCTTTTTATTAACATAATACCATAGTTGTTTTAAACTGCACCTTTTCTAATTCACTCTAGTTAAGAGTCTAATTGTAAATTAGGTTATATAACTTTTCTCCACAGTTCAACAACTTTCTGCTGTGCTGCACTCCTAAGTTCAGCCTCGTTGGGCAGCGTTTTACTGTCCGCTGCAGGATCGGAGTGGATGGCATGCAGGTGCAGCAGACCACCAATGAAGGCCATCCATACACCTTCCAGGTCTCTGGAAAGGAGAGGACCCTTGAGCTGCAGGCCAGGTGTGTGTGAGTTCTAAAAGTGGGGTGTATCTAAGTTGAGCTCAGTGTTTGCCTGCGTTTTTTTTTGTTTGGTTGTTAGTTGACATCTCATTTTGTCACCTTGTAAAGTTGTCTGCCTAAAAAAGTATGTTAAAGCAGCAACAAGGAAGTTAAATTTTTTTTGTTGATTCTGGCAGCTGTGGACAAAAGCGGCAATGTTTCCACAGCCTTGTTTGATTGATATTCAAAGGGAATTCAATCGAATCTGATCCGGTTGCAGGCATTAAAAATAATTACATAGAAAGAGCCAATGCTCATGGTGCTTATGTAGATCATACAGAGGCATCAGTATTAAATTTAGACTGTTTCGTAACCAGTTCAAAACTCCTCGAAGTAGGTTTATATAACAAATTGAGAGGATTGTGCAGCTTTGGTAGAAGCTGTTCGAGTTGGAAAGTACATGCATTTGATTTGATTTCAAATTACTTAACATATTTGTAGTCTGTGAACATAATTATGTGTTATTAAACATCAATGCATGTACATAAATGTTTTGTAAATTAAATTGTAATTGTCATTGTTTATTTTTTTTTTCAAGCTCTGAACAAGATAGAGATGAGTGGATAAAGGTAAAGGGGTATTTATTTACAGTAGTGTTTGGAGCAACACATTAAATATTAAATGGATTGGGGAAAAGATAATAATTAATTTTTTTTTCACCAGTTAATTCAGGAAGCCATTGATGTGTTTCAGAAGAAAAATGAAACCTTCAAGTTGGCTTCTAAGGAGCTAAACGTAGAAGAACCAGTAAGTTTGATGATATCAGAAGTGGGTTGTACATTTATAATCTATTCTAAAAACAAAACAAAAGGACTTCTACATCTGCGACCTTTGTGTTTTCTAGACTGAAGAACTTGGCCGACGTGCCCCTCGCTGGATCAGGGACAACGAGGTGACCGTGTGTATGAAATGCCAGGAACCCTTCAACGCGCTCACCAGGAGAAGACACCACTGCAGAGCCTGTGGCTGCGTGAGTGACGAGATCCGGTAGCTCTGTGTTAAACACACTGCACACAAAAGCTCTTTTTGACAATATAGCAATGGTGGTTTCTCTGCTCCCCAGGTGGTGTGCTGGAAGTGTTCAGACAATAAAGTGGCTTTAGAGTATGACAATAACAAGCTGAACAAAGTGTGTAAAGCCTGCTACTCCATCCTGACCGGTCAGAGAGGGGAGAGGGTGGAGGGGAAGAAGAGACGAATAGTGGAGGTGAGCCTTGTGTTTTTGAACGGTTATGACAAGGGTTATCTTTCAAATCAAAGACAGTTCTACCCTGAAGTCATTTCTGTTATGGATGCTTGAACATGTATACATTTTCCCATTTTACACAGCTGGCAGTGGTGAATAAAACCAACTATACTAAAACACTTTTTTAAAACTGACATTAAGAATTCAAGTGTGGTATCTTCTGCAGAGAAAATGGAATTTTTTTAAAAACTTTTTAGGAGCACAAAATACAATATACCGAAGGGAAGTCTTTAACAGCATTGTGTTTTCTTCTGTGCGTCAGCTGGAGGCATCTCCAGTGTCCACTGACGGCGTGATGAGTGGCTTCCTGCTGTACGGTGACAACCCCAAGACCTGGCAACAGGTGTGGTCGGTTATCAGCAGAACTGAACTTCCGACCCTCTGTCTGTACGCTGCTCCACAGGTAGGCATCTCCGCAATACTACCGTATTATTATATTTTGTATCATTGTTTATGTGCCACATACTCACTGGTGTTCTGTATTTCGCTGTGATTTGTGTGGAACTGTTTCTAGAGGGTATGCATGTGATGCTGTCATATGTCACCGCAGTCACAACATTAATAGTCAGCATCTTTAATCACGCACTGGCATGGAAAAAAAAGGAAACTGCTAAAATTGTGAAGAGCTGTTGTGCAATCAACTGCACAAACATATTTTGAAAGTTTGAAACCCGAAGGCTACAGAGTATTACCTGCTTCTGTTATGAATGAAACCAAATAAAACTAATTATGTATCCACAGAAAACGGTAATATCCTTATTCTCCAAAAACAAACAGTTCTCCTTTTTAATGTCAACATACCACTGACTGGCAATGAGTGGTGGCCTGTGAAATAAGTACCATTGCTGCATATCCTTTATTAGAAAACACACTTTTCTGTTGCAGCCCTGCTGATGACAAAAGAAGCTTGTTTTTCCATACAAAATCTCGCCATGCACAGCTTCAACCTTCACATCCATCACATGCTTTTCTATCCCTTTCATTCACCCCCATATCTCCAGGATGTAAAGCCCCTATCCTGTATACCTCTGCTGGGCTACAGAGTGGAGGATTCCCTTCAAGAGCTCCAGGGTCAGCCTTGTTTCTGTTTAAGCCAATCCAGAGCAACCCACACGTTCTCCTGCGATAGCTTGGACCTCAAACAGAGCTGGCTGACTGTTCTTAAAGTTGCTGTGACAGGCAGGATGCCACTCAGTGGCTATGACATCACCACAAGTGGCTCCAGATGTGGAATTAAGGGTAATGTGAATGATGGAAGAGTCTCTAGTGGTGAGGAATTTATCATCAATGGCAACATAGAAAACTACTCCTGAATGTTTGAGATTAGCCACGATGGAAAGGAAGAAATACAAGCATATACACGAACACACAGCAACAAATGAAACAAGTGCACTGATAATAAAGACGGTGGCTTTGAACTGCACATTTTGATAAAATGAATGAAATGTAGAAATGAAATTCAGGAATGTAAAGATTGTTGATAAATAATATTCAGACTGAGAACTGTGTTTTCCTTATAAGTGGCAATGCACTTTATTTCTGAAATGGTTTACAGTAAAATAAATAAAGTGAAGGTGTTTTAACATGACTTGGACTATCCCTTCAACTACAAACATGGTTGCTTCAGCACTGTACAGGCTGTCTAAGGTGCCATGCGATGTGGTGTGAAAATACGCTATGTTTTCTTACAGCGGACAATTGAACACATAATTGCATGAGGGTTTCACAGAGGCTCAGTGGGATCTTAATTGCCTTATAAAACACATTCAACTGATCCCATTTCTTCACAGATAATGTTACAGCAATTGAATATCTACACTTAAAAACGATTTACAGCTAAACAAACTCTTAACAGAATACATAAAAAAAATTAAAAGGACCAAAGCAATCAGTGTAAAACAGAAATTGACAGAATAATAACCTTTAGTTTGTTGTTGTATAAAGCCCATAGAGTAACCAAAGCACCAGGTTAGCTTAGTGTGCAGCATGTCTCAAAAAGAAGACACTTCAAATAAAAATTATTGACTTTGAAGCAGCTACAAGGAACTTTTGATTCTGGCAGCCGCTGTGGACAAAAGCGGTAGTGCCGTGTTTCATCTGATTTCAAGGGAAATTGGACTGAATTTGACCCAGTGGCAGGCATCAAGAATAACAAAATATAGAAATAGCCAATATTTTCACTGATGGTCTTGTTGTCTTATAACGTCAGTTTCATAACCCAGTTAAAAGCTCCTTGTAGTATATTTAAATTATTTCAAACAAATTTTTCTTCTTTAGTGCATGTATTTTCATGTAGCAATTATGTAGTGGTGAATCCTCTAAAGGAAATTCCTTAAAACACTGACCTTGGTGTTCCACATGAATAACTACACTATATGTGATCTATGGAGGTATGCAGGGTGAAATTGAAAATGTCCCATAAAAGGGAAAAGTTGCTTAAAGCTACATTAATTAGTATTTTATATTAACAGAGTCAAATTACTTTATGTAATGTGAAAAAGGTCACTGTTACTGACAAACTTGCAGAGAATTCTCACTAAATTTCTGTAGCTCTACAGAGTTTTTTTTAGCCTCTTAGCTAGTTCTGGTTTTATGGACCATTTTTACTGCATGGTTCACTCAAACCACTCGACCATATTTACAGCATCAACAGACTGTTGCTTTTGGCAAAATGTTTTGATAGACTGACTATACGCTACTAATCCAGCACTAAACAGGAGACACACAAAGTTAGCAGCTAGCTAGTGAAGAACGTTGAACAGCTAGCAGCTATATCCAATTCAGGCCATTATTTGTTAACATGTTGGCCTTTGAAAACTTAAGCTAATGATGTAGTAGTCAGTTCTTATGCCCTCTAGTGGCCAAAATTTGATTAATGCAGCTTTAAGGTTCTCGCTTAATTTCCCAATAACAACGAACCTCAGGGTCTAATGTTTCTTTCATGTCACTTATGCACTACCTCCTGCATCAACAGCAATATGCAACATAAAATACCAACAAGTGCAATTTCTGTTTTGCTGTTGACAAAGCTGAAAGTATACGTTGCTATGGTGCGCTTCAAAATGTACAGAGCTTAAAAGTTACAGAATTGTGTCTTATTCGATTCTCTATGATCTATTCTAGAGATGGTAGCTGTTAAAAAAAGATCAACTCAGTGTCTCTGAATTGAGAGAATCATCTGAAGTTGTGAACTCTCCCCCTAAAGGCCCGTCTTTGACTTGACACTAGAGCTGCAAACACAACTGGACATTTAAGAACAGCAGTAAAGACTAAACGGTGCTCATTGTGCAACAGCTTATTCTTCTGAACTGCAGGCCCAGCTGACAGCCAGGGTGCAAATAAGCCATTTCAGATAGCCTCTATGTCCTCGTGGACATCACCCTTGCCTGTTGGACATCATTAGAAAATCTGATTTGGTCATAGCTCAGGCCAAAAATAATTAGTCTTGACATTAACTGCTCATTTGTGGCTTTAAGTGCCACTTAAACAGCAGTGCTTACAGACATGGCTCTTGAAGACAAAGGTGGTTTGACCTGCTTGTAGTGACATAAGTTAGATTTTAAGGAAGGAGGCCCTGATTTGGACATAGAGGCTTAAAAATGAGATGTTTAAAATCCAGCACTTACAAGGATAGCAACACTGGCAGAGAGGCGGACCCCATATCACACATACGCTGACACACTGTACATAAAAGGAAAAAAGCAATACTATTTACAGGAAGGCTGCCTCTCTATTACACTTACATACATTAATCCTCAGTACACGTTTTGTTCACTGAAAATCGCCCAAATCGCTGGCTTCATCTCAGAATTGTCTTGCTCTGTCATTCAACTTGATGTCCAAGTACAGTTCAGGCCACTTTAGTGTTAATTTGATGTTATCTTCACCTTGCGTTTGGACCTGCCATCCATTGAATTCACACACGGCTCAGTGTTGAAATACTGCAGCTGTATCCAATCCAGAGAAGCAGCCGTGGTAATCCATCTTAAGGGTGAGTTTATCTCGGAGAGGATGTATCAAGTAGAACTGACCGAATTACAGGACTTTAAATGTTGGTCCTGCCATCAGGTTGTGAGGGAGCAGAACCACGGTGAACAAAAGAAGCACGGGGAGATGTACAACAAAAATAAAAGATATACCAGAGAAATTTCTGGTGGCTCAAACCGTCCTGAAGACTCCAAGAAGCCAGTAATGCAGCACTCAAAGCTCAACCCCCTTTTAAAACGAGCAGTGATGAAAGGCGGAAAGCTAGCCCGTCTGTTGTCTCTCAACTGCAGCACAGCTGCTCCGACACCAGCAGGGTGTCATAGCCGTAGATCTCCAGCAGGTGGAGCAGGAAGAGCCTGTCTCCATGGGGATCCAGACCCATGGCTCTCACACTCTCCTGGGTCAGCGTGGGATCTGGGCTTGCTGCCACCTCACTGAGGGTCTGGAAAATCCTGTTGTTCTGCTCCAGGAAAAACCTGGATAAGAAGGTAGGAAGATGGTAGCTTCACAACTGAAATGTATTCGAATAAATGTATTTTCTAATCATTTAGAAAATGATCTACAAAGTTTCCCCCCTTTGTTTTGTTCCCCTTGTCCTTCATGCTTTCCTCCCACATTACCCTGGTTTTCATTCCATGTCTCTTAGCTGAACAGTAGCAGTGATAACATGGGAAAAGCATAAAAAAAATAGCACAAATATGCACTTTGTGAGATTTAGTAAGTACAGCGAGTGTGAGAAGAGGAGAAAGGTCAGGAGATTCTGTCAGGCTCATTACCTCTTTCATTAAATTTTAAGTTTCTTCCCAGGATCCTCATAAAAAGATCAAGTTGTGTCAGCTCTGCGTACAGTGGTTAATCAGTAGTTACCACTCCGCTGGCTGGTTGAATGAATCATACACTTACAGAATAAAGAGATCCTCTTCGCTGGACACACAGTCTCCATTCTCCTCCTGGGAGTACAGCAACATCTGCCTGCACACACAGAGACACACTTTAAATCCGACTCTTCCTTTAAAAAACCTGCACTATTTGTGATTTATACCTAAATATGTAATGTGTACTAATTTATGAATAATCATGTATTTTCATTTAGGAGAGTTAGGCTTTACTCGTGCTTCGAGCTGTTAATGTTAGCGTGACAAAATGCTAATACAATGTTAACATACTAACGGTGGTGAGTGCAGCTGAGGCTGATGGGAATGTCATTAGTTTTGCAGGTACATAAACTGAAGTAGTGGACCAAATGTTGACCAGATCAACACTGAAGGGTTCATCATTCCCATTGCAATTTATCCTTTGGGGGCTTTAAATGTCTACATAACATGCCAAGGTAATCCATTCAATATTCATGGAGATCCGTTTGGACCAAAGTGGTGGACCGACCATCCAACTGACGGACGTCTACTGCCACACGGCTAGCATAGCTAAAGTAAAGAGTAATTTAAAATGATCAACAGTGTTTTCACATTAAGAGAAAGAACAGAAAGAAATCCAAAAGAGGATGTGGTGTGCAGAACTGATGGCCATTAGACATTTGCTCCTCTGAGAAAAACCTGCTGAATAATCTTAGAGTGCCAATTTTACTTAATCAACCCTTTAGAAAAAAAACATTGAAATGTAGGAGACTGCATTTGTCAAATTTGTTACCGATAAGGCTGGCTTATTCTATATTTTTGGTGCTATATTTTTAAAAGGTCCAATGAAACCAAAAACAAAAACAAACAATATGCTATTCCATCTTTCAGTACTTTCCACCTTTCTTACCCTGAGGCAGTCAGCCATAAGCAGCACACTGTATGTCTGACTGACTCAAAATAAACTACAGTGCCCATGTTCAGAATAATGAGGGAACATGTCAGTACATGTGGCTCACTGATGGTTTTTTAATCATGTTTGGGCAACAATGGAGCTCTACAGATGAGGAATAAGATATATTTATATTTATATACATATATTTATACTTTGGTTACATAGGAAATACATTTTAGTAGATTTAGTTCTTTGGTAGTTTTGGTATCTTTAGAGCCTTAACCTTTAAATCCCAGTCTGGAAATTACTGTTAAGCGTAAGCAGTGTTCTTTACAGTGTAACTTACCTCTGTTCAGTGAGTTTGCGATATTTATCCCTGTCTGCAGTGCTGAGGCGGAGCAGAGGCTTCAGGCCGTCTCTGCAGGTCTTTACATTCTGATTGTCTACATACACATCATACAGATCCTTCTTCTCCTCAAAGATCTTCTCAGTAGTACCTAAGAATACAAACAAGAATTGACATACAGGAGATGCTGATCATACCTGCAAAAGTTGTATATTAGACCCGACTATTTTTTTTTTTCAATGGGGCTTTTCACAAATGTTAACATGTTTCGAGCTTCCACTTGCATGCTACGTAGGAGAGTTCGTTCTCCAGGGCGCTGATATCGGCCACATTAACATAGAAGAAGGGCCGGAACTCGGGCACAGCCACACCAATCCCGGGGATGGAGATGTTTGCCAGGCAACAGCAGCAGTACACTGAGAGGGAAGAGGGGGTGGAGGGTGAAATTAGAAAAATGATGCATAGGTGTGGGAGAGGAGGAGAGCGACACAGGATGTGAATGAATGTGTGCATGACGTGTAGGCTGTCCAACACTAATACAGCTGGAAAGGGACTGCATGTACGCTGATATAAACTCTGCAAACTCATACATTAAATTAGACTTAAATAACTTTTTCTGAATGTGTTTTCTGAATATGTTTAATGGGCTTCACAGCTGAAAAAGATACACCTTTGAAAACATGAAAATCCTTGTTTTATTTGGACATTTAAAGTGAAGTGCACTTTTTACCTATCTTGCAAAAAGTTAGATGTCTGTTGTGCCGTGAGACTGTTAGCTTAGCATAAAGGCTAAAGTTCAACAACAACAAATTGTCAGTTTTCTACAATATATTTTTTGTCAACAATCCAGAGAAAAACGTGTTAATTAACAAGTTTTTGACACCTTCAGACAGAGCTAGGCTAGCTGTTTTCCCCGTTTACAGTGTTTGTGCTAAGCTAAGCTAACCAGCTGCTGGCTCCAGCTTCACAGACAGACATGAGAGCGCTATCAATCTTCTCATCTGACTCTCGGCAAGAAAGCGATTGCATGCGATTCCCAAAATGTCTAACTATTCCTTTAAACTTCTATTGAAACACTTTGTAAATAAATCCAGATGTTTTTCACCTCTGTAGCAGACCACACCCACAGGCGGAGGGGAGAAGATGAGGATGCGTCTGCGGAGGAGGGCCAGTTTCCACAGCACCATGATATGCTCCCCAAAGAAGCGGATGAACTGGGACATGCAGCCTGCAGGGTGGGTGATCTGTATTCACACACAGAGGTGCAAAAGGTTAGTGAGTAATAAAGTGCAAAAAACACCAGCTGACGAAGCCGTAGAAGCGGAAATGTCCTTCCTACCTTCATCTCAGGGTGCATGCTGTGGTTGATTGCAGCTCCCCAGGCATTGGCTGGACATCCAACAACAACACCGTCACTACTGGGTGGCAGAAGTGCTCTCTTGTCCTCATAGAAGGCCTCCAGGGGAGAGTAGTGGCCAGGGGACTGAAGCTGGAGCCTGGAGCAGGGGCAAGAAAATTGACATTAAAACTGTTGAAATTCTAAATCTCAAAATTAAATATCTTCACAAATATACAAGCAGATTTTTCTTCTTAACTTCAGCTTCTCTTAGGAAGGAATAGCTGATAAGCTACAACCACGATGTAGCTATACTTCAAATCCTGGTAAAATAATCCCAACCCAAACTATTCTAGTTAATCCCAGTATAAATTTTAGGAAATGATGCACACTGATATGAACAATGGGCAAAAAGTGCCTGGTGCTCTTTACACACAGTATAAACACCACCAAAGTGTTTTTAGGTATATAAACATACCATGATTTTTCCTCCAAATAGTATATTTTAAAAATGACTGGGATTATTGTTCACCACAGAGAGCCATTTTGATTTTAAAATGGAGCGCTAAAATGTGAAATTCATGTGGTAAACAGTCAATAATTAGTGCAGAAACAAATGATCAGCTGCAGCTCTTTGTAATACAAATTCATTTGGCCTGGAAACCCTCATTCAGTAACAATAGACTGGACTAAATTGAACTGCCACCAATAAGCAGTGGGCTAGATGTCAGTCTAGGAAAAAAGTGTATCTGCCCAACATAGCTAGACCTTGACTATGGCTATGTTTTTCTGTATTAAAGCTTTTGTTAGTTCTTAGTATTCTCTAACCACAGTCCCTCTCACAGTATTCCATTAACTCAGAAACAGAGGGAAGGCTGAGAGAGGGTAAAGGATGAAAGTATTCATAAATTCCTAACTATGTTAACCACCTCGTGACCAACAGTGAGCCCTTTATATAACTGCCATAGCAGTCAGCAGATGAGGTATCTGGAATGAGCTACGCGGGGAATGATGAGTAAGAAGCATGACCACTGTGACTGGAGGCCAGCAGAGGCCAGAGTGCGGGAACTGTGGAAAGGGAAGAGAGGAGGATCGGGGAAAGCAGAGAGAGAGAGGAAGAGAATATAGAGAGTTGTGTTCAGGACTGAAAGTGGTCTATTTGAGATGAGAGGAAAGAAAGAAGAAGAAGAAGTAGGTTGAGCGGAGCCAAAAAGCCCCACTAGCGGCCTCTGGAGGCCATTTTTGAACTTACCTGTGGACTAATGTTGCATACTTGAAGCCTCTTACTAGTAGTTAGTTTCCAGACCTGTACTATAACTGTTATGCATCCTGCTGTAAACATATGTCTGAACTTCATTCTCCCATCCTAAATGCCGGAAAATCTAATCTAAAACTGTTACTGGCGAGCACGGCTTCTGATTAGATTGTAATGTGTGTGGAATAATGGAATTATACTATTCTTTGTTTTAATGCTCTCTAAATATCAGCATCAACCATTGGAAAACCCCTATCGGTCTACCACTAATATTGTCATGTGGATCAGCAGTCACATGTAAGCAACCATGTTAACAGCCTGTCGGTCTCTCGGTCGGTCCACCACTTTTGCCAATTACATTATTGATTATTTTATAACTATTGCTCAGATGTGTTTAGTATCCTAGCCCCACTCACGAATGTAGAATCTACCTCATGAACAAACATTTATAACACTGTGTTGTATAGAGTATTTTTTTGCCCAGTAACCCCAACAAATTTGAAGCAGAGCTACAATGATTACCGTAGTCAATTAATTTAGCAGGATGAAAAACGAATTGATTGATTAATTAAAAAAGATATAGATCGTTAATTACTCATTTTGAGCAATTTATGCATGCAAAAACGTTGCTGATTCCAGCTTATTTAAGTTAAGTGTTTTGGTTCAATAAACTTTAATGTTTTTGATTTTCAATCTCAATTTTAACTCTGGGAACTCTTTAAAGTGCTCAGAAAAAACATTTGAACATTCAGAATTCCATAACAACTGTGGAAGACTGTGTGATATAATCAACAGCTCCTAAGTAGCAACCAAATGTGACATTGTGGTGACTGAATATCTTTTTGGGGATATTGGTTGAACAAAACAAGCAACTGGAAGTCGTCACCTTGGGCTGTGAACTAATGAAAATAATCATAAGTTGCAGCCCTGATTAGACGTCTGTTGTTCAGTGACAGTAACAACCCCTGCCATGTATGCAAGCAGACCACTCTGTTGCACAGAACCAGCTCCTCTTACCTGACCTGGTGCTCTAGGAAGCTCATGTAGCGGTAGAGCAGGGTGTAGGAAGGAGACAGGATCCCTACCGACTTCATCCTCGCCCCCCTCTCCACCGTGCTCTCCACCGGCATGTTGGCAAAGCAGGCGAGGCCGAAGTAGCAGCCCTTCCGGAAGTAGCTGAGGATGGAAGGGGAGAGAGGGAGAGAGAAGAGGGAGACAGACACGAAGCCATGAGTCACGAAAAGCAAAGGCACTGCCAGATGGCTGAGCTTTTCTTTTTTTTTCTTTTTTTTTTTTGCCGGGCAACGCTTTCTGTCGTTCTGTCCTGCCAGGAGGAGGAAGACATGGGGCCGCATCCTAATACTCTAAATCAGCCTCCTCCACTGGGTTGTGTCCTTCACGTTCTGAAGAAGGTGAACAACTTCCACTATTGTGCATACTGATCATACACACACACTTACATGAAGTCTGTGGTGACTCGGTGGGAGCCGCTGGCGATGGCTTTGAACTCCACTCCCTCCAGGTCCATGTCTTTGGGCAGACACCACTCCAGCATGTTCCCTAATCGCACCCACGCCACACAGAGACAATATTAAAACACACAGGCAAAGCAGACAAATGCTGATACAAGACCAGACGGTAAATATATTATCACGTTTCATTTCATGCTCATGAAACAGCAGTGACACAGCCCGACTGCGTTCCTTGGAATTCATTATGTGCCGGTTGGGCGCTGACGCTCGAGCGGCAGCTGAGCAAATACAGCCTGATAGGAGCAGGGAGACAGAGAAGGTGACTCAGACACTGTGGTTTTCAGTCTATTCAGTAGCTACATGTATCAGTCAGTGGAGCTGCTGCAGAAATATGACTTGATTGATGCTCAGATTGAGTTAACAGGTCTGTATCTTCCACTAGAGACTAAAAAGCACCTGCAACCAAACACCAAAGATGCTCTATTTTCACTTTGACAGCTGTTATTGACATGAAGTATTTAGCTTTAAGTATCATGCAGTGCGAAGTGCCTATTGAAGCTATTTCCTGCACAGACAGACCAGTATTTAAAGCTCATTACTGGTTAAAACAGTAGAGACACAATGTTTTTTCATTGCATGTTTTATTTGTGGACAAATGCACAAAAGCAGCTTTGCTCTGATTTTTGATGCATCACGTGGTTCCTGACGCTTGACTAAATCCTGTAAGAAACAATCCTCAAATCGATATTGTATATTGGCGTTGTGTCAGCCCTATACAGCACTATCATAGATGAAATACTAAAATGAACCCGGATCCTTTCCTAGTTCATCCTCAGAAATATTCTAGTACATTTTTAAATCTCCTTTGTTAGTGTGAAGCTCTCTTACCTAATTTCCTGTCTCTGCTTCACTCTAAATAAAAGTTTAAAGATACCCCCCCCCCAAAAAAAAACCAACATATATATGTATATGAAAAACCTAAAGCATGTATCTACATGAGTCAGGGGAATTAAAAGAACACCTGTTTTTAAGTGTATTAGGCTGGATTGCTCCTTTAAGGAAGCAGAAGTGGAGCTGATTATCTGTTAGTAGGGATGGAGCAAATGTTTGATGCTGCAATATCTGAATATGTTTTGTGATAACTTACCAAATCACTGACAGAACTGTCATCATAGTCTCCACTTGAAGCTGAGACAGAGGTATATTTTCCTTTATATTCTAACATAGTGCACAAACTGTGGATAAATTGGTGTGAGCGTTACAAATACTGCGGCTCTGTGCTGTTTGTTACACGCTGTTTCATCTGGGTTGTTTGTAACATTGAGCAAATATGCAAACACTGATTAATATAGTGAATAAAAGGGCGATGCTCTCCTCTATAGGTTCACATATAATGATGTACCATAGCACAACTGGCTTGTATTATTTCATATCATACATTTACCTGTTGTATTTTCTGTTAATATCCTGAAACCGGTGTGTACTGCGAACAGACCTGTGTCGTGTTTCATCTTGTCATGATTTACCCTGTGAATCCTGGCTCTGGTGTTAAGAAAACGTGGAGAGACAAGGGTAGCAATATTGACCGTACGGAGCAGGAATGCAGGAATCGATCCAGCTAATCTACCTGGAGTCCTATTTGTCGGCTTCAAATGGAGGTCTTTCCTGCAAAGCCCCTATCAGACTATGAGTACTGATACCAGTGACCCTGATCCTTCCACTGAGCAGAAAAAAATCAAACATAAATAAAATGCATTGTTATAACCTGTTCATCACCCTATTATTGTCCTGGTGTCCTGTCAATCAAACATACTGCAACATCACATAGTGTCCAGCTCCACCCTGTAGGGAACATCCTGTGGCACAATCAGGGTTTCTCTATCATTTCGAAACATTAAATCTTCTGATGCTTAAATAGATTAGCCTTCTAGGTAAGTAACCTGATTGGCTTCTATTTTGCAGGGGGCTCATCCTGTCTTCAACATGCCCCTCATTAAAAATGTATAGCCCTACTCTGCAGCCAGCTGATTGATTTCCATCACAGAGCTCGTCCTGACATTTTGACATTTTCTTTCCTGTACTTAGACTACAGAAGGTGTCGCAGCTTTTAATCGTGTCTCTAAACTTATGGCCAGGTCAGACAGAGCCACACCTGTAGGAGAAGGTTCTGCAGACTTGGTACAAACATGCGCTCTTCGTTTTGGGCGTCAGACACAGGGATTGCTTGCACAAGACGAGGCATGCTTCATGTATGTCCCCCCCCTTCCTGTCTATAAACAGTATCCTCTCCCTGTTCTGGAAAGATTTTGTATTCGATCTAACACAGCAGTGATAAATCCACGTCGCATATTTTATGTCCCACCTGATCTGGTATTGAATGTAACCACAAAGACCGACACAATCTGGTCCTTTTCCTCCCATTTCACCATCCTGTCTTCCAGGGACACCTCCCTCGATCCTGAATCCGAGGGATGCTCCTCGCTGTCGGGGCGCAGCGCTTCGTCCGCGCCCGCCGGGGTGCTGTTGGAGGTCGCGGGTGGGGCGCTGCAGCCGTCTGCGTTGGAGACAGACCTGCTGGGAGTGGGACCCCCCGGACCGCTGCTCCACCCAAAGCCCGGCGCGGAGCATCCCGGTGAGGCACGACTGTTGGAGGGGCTCGACAGTCGCTCTTTGGGGTGTGCTGCCGGCGGTGTCGCTCCGCCGGGCTTCTCCGCGGACGGAACCTCCTCCCAGTCCAGCAGAGGGGCTCGGTCCGACCGCTCCACCATCCTGTCGGCGGTCCCGCCTCGTCAGTCTCACCGCGGATTGTAAATGATGTCTCAGCCGACGGGAACCAGGTCCATCCGTAGATAATTACAGCTCAGAGCAGTTCCCGCATTGTAAAGTTATTCTAAACTGTTCAGAACGGTTGCATTTTGCATCAAATGACACGAACCGCGTAGCAGCATCCACATCTAGCTTTATAATCTTTCTTGTGTGAGGGTGATCATAAATTTGATGCTGTACAGAGAGGGCAACTCCTTCGTCTAACGTGAGCTGCATTCAAAACAATCCACCAGTTTTTGTCACATCCCCTTCACTAAGAATAGCTGTAGAACGTTTGGGAACGCGTATCCGTTTTGGCTTCTTGAACGCCCCCTGTACCACAGCGCCCGGATCGAGCCTTCTTTCTCGAGCAGCACTTTCCACTAAAACATCTACGTTTTCACAAAGCAACACACCTACAATTCACGTTTATAAACCCCCGAACGCTATTAACGTGTCAACCGCGTTGCTGAAAACATCTCAACTCGTGCCACGAGTCCGTTTTTTATATTAAAACACGGAGAAACATTGAGTGTGACGAATGTTAAGAAGCGAAACGTTGCTCGGCGAGAGGGTGGTGACGTCTTCCAGCGACACGTCAGCCACACGGAAGAAGGTCTCTGTCCGACCGACCTGCTGCAGCGTTGCTCCTACAAGGACCGTAGTTTCATCGACATGGGTGAGCGTTTTAACTGTTGGTCGGTGCTGCCTGTATTTCCCCTTCGAGTACATAAAGCCCACATGCGTATGGATAGTTTAGAGTCCATTAATTACATGTTTTGTGTCTGCCTGCTCCGTTTGACGCGGCTGTGACCAGCTAGCTCGCTAGCGTTAGCTGTTGACAGTGAATGCCGTGGGTTTTTCCTCCGTGGTGTTTCAGTGGGGCACAGTTTCCAAACGTGTTTCCCTCCCAGCTACCCGTGTTAGTTGTTTCATAATATCTTCATATTGGCGTCAAGGAACATAAAAGATGAAGCACGTTATTCAGCTCCGTCTGTCCACAACGCCAGAAGCTAACTCGCTCAACCACCTGAGTGCTATTGGCACTGCTCATTGTTAATGAGGCCATTGTTGTGAATCCGGAAAAGAGAAGGGTTTTAAAGAGCTCCAGGTGTAGAAAGAGCTCAGTCTTTAACGCCAGATTCACTTTCCTGTGTGTGGTTACTGTCACGTTTCTCTCTGTTGCTGTAATTCTTCTAGGACTCCAATGAACTCCTACTGTGGCAGTCGATTAACCATCGTTTAACCTTTTATAGTTTGATGATTTGAGTTCATAAATAAATGTATACAAAGACATAATAATGACACATGCCCATGGTTTCTCACTAGAAGCCAGAGGGTACATTTTCGATCCATCTGCTAATTAAAAGTCCCTGTTCTCAGCACTGATTCCTCCCTGTGTGTGTGTGTGTGTGTGTGTGTGTGTGTGTCTCCTTCAGGTGGTTTCTTCTCCAGTCTCTTCTCGGGCCTGTTTGGCACCAGAGAGATGAGGATTTTGATCCTGGGTTTGGACGGCGCCGGAAAAACAACCATTCTGTACCGGCTGCAGGTCGGAGAGGTGGTCACTACAATCCCCAGTATGTGCTGCTGTGCTCTCTTTCTCTACTCCCATACTGCTGTGTATTCCCCCTCAGAGAACATCCTCAGATCCACATCGGTTAAAGTCAGCCCAGACACCATTGTAACATAGTGTGACGAGAACAACCTTTGTGTGTATGGTAATTAGATTATGAATGGCATCGACCAGTAATCCTGTTGCTACATGGGTAAACCTGGGTAACCAGTCTGATCAGCGTTCTTCTTTGACACACGAGTGTTTGACTTAGAGCGGTTGTTCTCCGACGGGGGGGGCGTGGAGCCACTGCAGGTGGGGCTGCAATGACCAGGGGGAAAATATGGAGTTAAATGAATATGATTTATGTAGGGTAAACAAAATGAGAACGCGTTTGCTGGTGCTATTGTGCTAACCTTTGTTTCACTCAAATTCAACCTGGATCCTTCATTATTAGCTCCCTATCATTGGTTTAAAAAATAAAAATTGGGGTGTGAGGTGGGACTGTTTTTTTGGCGTCTGAATGCCAGAAAAAGTTTGAGAACCACGGGACTGGAGAGAAGCTGGTTTCCCTGGCTTTAATCCAATTCATTAGAGCGAATAAAGTTCGTACCGAGTACAAAGCAGCAGTGGGCAGGGCTGTCGGCATGGACAGCTGTGATACTAACAGGAAAAACAAATATTTCAAAAGGCCATCAGAATCTAAAATGATTCCTACAGCGTAGTGATAATGTTCTGTTTTTCAAACACTGAAATGTGAGTACAGACACGCGTGCTGTTTCTTTAGCCTGATGAACGGGGTGCAGGACTGTTTTGTCCACTGGCCCAACGGCGGGGACAGCGTCACATTTTACCAGCCGCTTAATAGCCTGCCGTTGTTGTTATTTTGCTGGTGAGTGAAGAAAATCAAACAGCCACTTGTATACTCTACCAGCATCTGGCTGGTGAACGGTGCTAATTGTATGCCCTGCTGATGAAGACATGGGGATTTCATTTATGCTGGTCGTCTATGGACATGTGTGCGAACAAATGTTGATTCAATTACACGCAACCCGCAATTAAAAATCCTGAGTTTTGTTTGTGATCGATTGCACAGTTCCTCGTTATGACACAGGCTGAGAATCGAACTCGAACTTGTAGTCAGCAGAACCATCACACTGTACTCTACAGATTAGATAAGGCTTGTGTGCTCTGCCCTCACTATACCAACATTTCTTTCCGCACAGCAATCGGCTTCAACGTGGAGACAGTCACGTACAGGAATCTGAAGTTCCAGGTGTGGGATCTGGGAGGACAGACGAGTATCAGGTAGGTGTACTGGCCAATGGTGCTGTGCTATGGAGCTCCCAGGAGTGAATGTGTGTATGTGGAACACAGGCGTAACTCTAAACAGCTTGTGCCTCAGCTGACATCTTGGAGAGATCAAGTTCATCTCTGTTGTTCGCGCACAACTTGAAATGTCCTCCTGATCTCGTCATCATATCGTTTGTTTTCCCTGTTTTTACATTATTTTAACCTCACAAATGTTTGAACCTTTTGCGTCTTCGCCGAACCTCCTTCTTTCAGAGGTCTCCTCTGCTGTCTCACAACCTTTGCGCTCTGCTCGACAGGCCCTACTGGCGGTGTTATTACTCAAACACAGATGCGGTCATCTACGTCGTCGACAGCAGTGACCGCGACAGGATGGGCATCTCAAAGTCTGAGCTGGTGGCCATGTTGGAGGTAAGCTGGCTTATTCTCAGCTCCAACCTAAAAACATTGAACTGACGTGAGGATATATCATTATTTCATAATCTCGAAGTCATCATGGCTAGCTGGAGAGCTGTGGAGATGTCTAACATTTCTACTCGTCCAAAGTGAAATTACCCAACTACTATTAAACAGATTTCTGTGATATTGTCTGCAGAGATCAATTTTAATCACTTTTCCTCTGCTGCCACCACAAGGTCACATTATGTATTAGGAAATTCTTAACTAGAACTTGTGTTGGTTGAATCCAGACACCAAAATTCAAATTTGAACATCTATAGTGCCAAGTGTTTGAAATTACTTTCTGTAAAAGAGGAAAATTCAATCTACACAAATTAAGATGATTTTCAAAGTAAAGTATTTCAAAACTATACATTTAGTGGTATTTAAAAAAAAAGTGGTCAAATATCAGAATGAGGCATTTAGATGCAAATTATTAAAGCTGTTTTTTGCCACAGATATTTGTACCTGCCACTTCTTTGGATTGAATTAAATGAATTGATTGTATCTCTGGCTTTACTAAGTGGATTTTCTAGAAATAATGTCCCAAAATGTCAGCTTTTCATGATGTAATTTTGCGACCCTGTGTTTTATCCAGGAGGAGGAGTTGAAGAAAGCTATCCTGGTGGTATTTGCAAACAAGCAAGACATGGACCAGGCGATGACGCCCACTGAGGTGGCCAACGCCCTGGGCCTTCCCGCCCTCAAAGACAGAAAATGGCAGATCTTTAAGACCTCGGCCACAAAGGGCACAGGCTTGGATGAGGCAATGGAATGGTAGGACGTTAATTGAAGTAGATATCTTCTGTACTGAGAGAAATAATTGATTAAAATAATGATTTTTACTTTTATCCAGATTCACATCTGTATTTGTCAAAAGCTCCCAGCCCTTTTAAAACCAGAAGACAGTGTATTACTCATTCTCTCCAGTATTCGTTCATATTGCCCAACGTGTTATGTGTTCTTTGTGTTTACCGAGACTGAATTGTATTTGCTCTCTGTCCTTGCAGGCTGGTGGATTCCCTGAAGAGTCGACAGTAAAGGCCCCCACCCATTCTGTATATACACCTGACCTTTGACCCTTCTGTATGAAGCCTTGTGACTGACTCCCTTCCCCACGTCCCACTTTTCACTGGACCAGTGATTGCACTCCTCCCCCCCTCCAACCCACCTGAAGCCTTGGCCAAGCCCTCCCAATGCCTAACGCCTTTCAAGCCTGGGACTTAGAAGCGACGGCTGCAGTAACGTCTGGACTGGGCACAAACACACTAAGTCCCATCTCTACCGGTGAAGCTTTTAGAGAGCCGTATGACTTCAGTGATGGACGGGCAACAAGTTAGTAACTACATTTTTGTGCGTTTTGGAAATGCAGTTTTTACCAATCTATTTAATCTAACAGCGTGACACACGTTATCATGCATTAGAAGGAATCAATAAATAAGACTGTGGAAAGCCCATCCACTCTGACCCTCTGTAGCATTTCTGAAATCGTCATTCGCATGTAGTAAAGCTCGAAGATCAGTAAGTGATGGGCACTCATGTCAGCAAAAGGATGCAATGAAGATCCCCATCAGAGGTTCGACCATACAAACTCCGCTCCTGCTCCTGACCTGAGCAACCAGAGACGAGGACACATCATCACCACGGAGAAGCAGCTGCTTGATTGCCAAGTCATTAGACATTTTTTAGTAGTGTGCTGGACTAGCTATACTGTATTGAATCTGTTTATTGCAGCAAGTATGAAATCCAAATTTGGATAACATACCTTTCTGCTGGCTTGCATGAAATGTTCTGATTTACTTTAGGAAATTGCAAATCTGGCCTCAAACAGTTAAAAAAAAAAAAAAAAAGTATTCATCTACTATATGTCCTCTGGCCAAGTGTTACTGCAGCCCAGGCTGTTTTTGTACTATAGGTTCAGGCAGATGTAATGTCATGGATTTCTATTGTTTATTCCCTTATGTTCATTTGTGTGGTTCCCTTTTTTTTTCCTTTTTTAAATAATCTAGTGGTTAAAGCCGTTTTTCCATTGAAATCCTTGAGTACAGCTTTGGCATATTAGTCATTTAGTTACTGAACACTAACTGTATGCTCAAAGTTCTGTGGTTCCATATTTATATCTGCTTGTACAGTGAAATTTATTCTCAGTAAAGATTGCTATCAGTGATTGTACCAGTTTGTGTTAAGGCTGTTTGATTTTCAAATTATGATACCAGAAGATGGATGAGTTGTAAAAATGTCAGATCTTTTTTAATTACAAAAAAAACGTACATTTAACTGCACGGGATATAAATCTGAAGACAATTCCACACTTTGTTCACAGCAGGAAAATAAACAGTTCAACTTTGATCTTCAATTCTTATGATGATGTTGTTAGCGATACAGAGACATCCTGCTGAGAATCAGCCTGTTACATGATTCTCATTTCTAATTCCTTTTACACACACAAGGATGTTAGATGCCAAACAGAAGAGACAGATCAGCTCATACACCAGGAAGAAACTCTCTCCTTGCCCATCATGATATTTGTTTTGTCAGTTGACAAAATAGTTATAAGTAAATAGTAAAAGTCATTATGTAACATCATGAAGTGTGACTTCTGCAGCCAACTAGTACCTGCCCACGAAATCCAACCCATCCACTTCCATGGGGCAACTGGCCAGCTTTCATTCCCACCTAGCGTCCTAATAAACAGATGTAGCCACCCACGTGGCTCACTGCACCATGGCCAGGTCTTTAAGCGCATGGCTCCGGTGCTTCTTGGCCTTATAACCGGGCCGGAGGAACTCGATCTTCCTCTTCTTGGCTTCAATTTTGTTCTTGTGCTTCTTGAGTTTCTTCTTGGCTGCGATGTCCGGGTGAGCCACCGCCTGGGAAAACAGACAAACGTAAATTGAATGGTCGGAATAAGTTGCTCTTGTTTGTGTATGCGGTTTGCTATCCATCATACCTGCATAGCTCTGTGTCGTTTGCGGGCCGTTCGCCTCTGGGAAAACTCCTTCTGTACAGCAGAGAAGGCCAGAGAGAATTTCTCCAGACCCACTTGTCTCTTCAGCAGCTCGATCAGCTCCTGGGCCAGATTCTTCAGTGTGGGATCTGAATATAGACAAAGGGCGGGGCTCAGTGGAATCAATATACATTTTTGTAGGAAGTCTCAGGGTTTTTTTTCCCCCCACGAGTTAGGTTAAGAGCAGTTACCTTGGTCTGCATAGGTGCTGTCCAGCTCCCTGTACAGAGGGATGATGATAGTGGTCAGATAGGGGCCGAGTCGTTCCTTCCCCAGGTCCATGGCTATCGCTCCCAGGAACTTAAACACACATGTTCTCTGTGGAGGTGAAGAAAACAAAAAATATATTTTCTAACTGACTTAGAAATGTGAGTTTTGACAAAAGAAGCCAGTATCGACGCTTTCAGCTTGGTCTTACGTTATTCTTTAACCCTAAATGGAGTTTTTGTTGTGAACACTGACATATGCTCACTCTTGCTTTGCTTGTTAGCAAACAGTTGTCAATTTACACATACAGCAGATACGGTGCACCATTAGCATTCATTCAAGTCAATATTTCGACTCCTTACAGCTCTGTTTCAGTCTCTACCACCTCCTGAGGGTTCTTTAGCTGCTAATTGCTCCACAACATTCACCAGTTAGTCACTAACTCTGTTCTGTGATGAATACATTTTTGGCACCCTGCCTTGAGATTAGACGTTAAGAGGTCATGCTCTTTTGTTCACAGTCAGTGAAGAGAGTGTCTGGATAAGATACTGCTGGACTGCTGGTTGCTGGTAGTCAACCAGAGAAGTGGACATATGACTCCTAGTTTCTATGTGTACCTTCAGGGGAACTTTGGGGGTGTAAGCTGCCTCTCTCTTGGCCATCAGCGACAGCTTCTTCATCAACCACAGCAGGGAAGGAGGCCGATCATCCTTGTCTTCTTCCTCTTCCTCCTCTTCCTTTTCTTTCTCTTCCTTCTCCTCTCCGTTTTCGTCCTCTTCATCTCCGTTCTCCCTCTGCTCCTCCTCCTCTTTCACTTCCTCTTCAGGGGAAGGGACATCAGACTCTGGGGAAATGAGGTAGATCACCTTGCCGACGAACAGCAGGTTCTTGATCACCTGCGGGCGGAGCGAGATATGCCTGTCAATAAATCTCATGTTTGGTTTAAGTTTGGCTTAGACTGAAATGTGTTAGTAAGTATGGGCACCTGCTCTCCTGATGCCGTGTCGAGGAACTTTGATTGTAGCTGATGGCAGAAAGATAACGCCAGTTCTCTCATCTGAATGTCATAAAGAAGGCCAAAAAAAGAAAATTCAGTCAGAACAAGATGGAGAAATGACGCTGCAGCAAAAAAACGAGTTGTCTCTGGCCTCACCTTCTTGTCCAGGTTGTTGGTGATGAAGTCTGTGGCCGTTGACTGTGGTGAACCGTCTCCTCGTTCTCCTTCTCCTCTCCAAACAGCGACCAGCTGCTCCGCCTGATGGGCTGCAAACAGCTGACCAAAAAGCTGCGAGGCGGTCAGCCACACCCAGCAGTGAGGGTACCGCAGGTGGGCTTCAATGTGACCTGCAGGAGCACATGTAAAGGAATAAATTCAGTGAGTGTGTGTGTGGAATGTGTGTGTGTGTGTAAGTGATAGAGAGGCAGTGTGTGTCAGCCATTTACCCCAGATATTATAGAGTGTGTTGTGAGGCTTGTGGAGCTCCAGCAGGCCGCAGTGTTTGCTCAATTTGGTGATGAGAGTCAGGAAACTGAACAACAGCCTGTCCGCTTCTTTTTCATCCTGCTCCTTCTCGATCTGAAAGAAAAGGCAGAGGTTAAGATGCTTTCTTTTCCTGAGGTTTCAATCGTGTGGCCAGAAATGGTGCAAATGTGTCTCCCCACATCTTCATAGTTGTCTGGGTTTATCTCTTTCTCCAGCAGAGGCAGCAGATCGTCCAGGCGGCGGGCGAACTTCTCATCCTCCACCTCCACGAACAGACCACAGATCTGAGCCCCGAGACGCTGCAGGGTGGCCTGGAAGGGCAGAGGGGAAAGAAGAACAAAAATGAAAACATACCAAAGTCACCAGTACTGTACAACCACACACAGATGAAACAAAAAATAACAAAATACTAGCAAAAAAAAAACCAACTGATCAGAATTGTGTGAAAAGTGTGTGAGTGTATGTGCACCTTTTCTGCATTCAGCCAGGTGTTGACGAGGGAGAATAGGGTGTTCTGGTGGTTCAGGTCCAGCTGGGTCAGCAGGGTCTTGATGGCCATGGCGGCCATCTTCTTACAGCGTGCTGAGTCATCGTTGACCACAACCAGGGCCAGCGGGGCGAAGAACAGGCCGCTGTGCTGCAACAGTAGGTTCTGAGCGGAAAAACAATGTGTGACTATCCTGAGGGCCCATGATAATGCATGCAAAGACAACAACTAGCATTGGTGAAGTTGTGAGAAATCTGCTCACCTGAGGGAACGTCTGGAAGATGTAGGCCAGCATCTCCAGCACGGACTCCCTGCCTGTGTCGTGCTCGTAGTGCAGCTGGGACACCACGAAGTCCAGGTGCTCTCTCAGCTTCCTCCCCAGTGGGTAGTCCAGCAGGTATTTGAGATAGATCTGCAAAACACAAAGCATCAACACTGGCTGAGCACAAGATTTAAACATTTTCTGTGTCAGTCAGTGTACAGCAGAGAGGGAAAATGCGGCCCGGCTTTCTGTATGGGTGAGTACCTGTCGGCAGTGGATTCTGATCATAGCGTTGCTGCCGGTGACAGACAGCTTGGCCACTTTTTTCAACACCTCCTCCATCTCTGGAACAATGAGCTTCCTGGACAGAATTGCCTGGAGGAGACAGATATGCATGTAAACACATACTGTAGCTCAAGGGGGCAGTTTGTTTGTTTTTTCCTTGAAAGAATTTGCCACAAAGCTTTGGATTTGTCCTGCACTGCACCACAAACAGCCAACATCTGACTGGTTACCTTTAGCAGGCCGAAGGCGGTGGCCTGGCGGGACTGGTCGTAGATGTCCTCCTCTGCGTATCCCAGCAGCACCTGCAGTTGTGTCTCTGAGATGTTGTTGCTTTTCACATTCTTTACCAGTATGGTGATGGCCTGAGAGACAGAGACACACAATGAACATCAACCATAATGATGAGATAATAATCTTAAAAAATAACAGATAAAATTAACCTTTAAAAGTCTCAGTGTTCCAAAAAAACACTTCCTGTCTGCAGCACCTTTGTTGTGTTTTAACTACAAGACTAAAGGAAAATTCCTAACTAACTAAACTATTAACTGACACATGGTATCATCCTTTATCTTCAGGTGTGTGCATATATGTATATTTATTGTTTGTGGTACCTTGAAGCAGTTCTGGACCAGGTTGTAGTTCTCCCCGCGGGCGGCTCCGGCCTTGGAGTAATCCTTGAGCAGGACAAAGAGCTGCTTGGTCAGCTGGTCGGCGTTCTGCGCCACCGCTGGCAGAGGGAACTTCAGCAGCCAGGTGAACGCCACCAGAGCCTCTGTGATCACCTGGGAGGGAGGAGTACAAGTTTTAATCTCCATTTTATTTATTTGAGAGATCAGAATGGATTTGATTGACCGATGCTCAAAGTTGGGGGATAAAAAGTACCCATGTATACATAAAGTACCTTAACGTGCATGGAGTTGAGGCAGTCGAGCAGCAGCGGTATGAAAGGATCCAGCATCTCCAGGGCCGAAGCCTCAGACGACGTCACTTTGGATTTCTTTAGACTCAGGTGGAGCAGCTGAGAAAATAAACAGATCACTTCAGAAACACTGTAACACACACAAATCTGTTACAACAAGGCATTCCTGACTTCTCTAGGAAATGTGCAATATCTATTTT